TCTTGTATCCTCACACGTCTTGTATCCTCACACGTCTTGTATCCTCACACGTCTTGTATCCTCACACGTCTTGTATCCTCACACGTCTTGTATCCTCACACGTCATGTATCCTCACACGTCTTGTATCCTCACACGTCTTGTATCCTGTCTCTTATACACATCTAGATGTGTATAAGAGACAGGTCCCCCACTCACTGAGGTCCCCGCCGTCCCCCACTCACTGAGGCCCCCCGCCGTCCCCCACCTGTCTCTTATACACATCTAGATGTGTATAAGAGACAGGTATATGCTTAACCTTCTTAAAGCTTAAAAAGTTTATAAAAGCTTAAACTCCAAACAGATTAGAACTCAAAACTGCCAAGATAGAAACTCGTCATCGTCTAGTTTTTCTTTTGAGAGGATCGATTATAATAATACTTTATATTTAATATATAAAATATAGGCAAGTTTACATTATTGCCATGTCAGTCATTGGGACCATCTCTCGTGAAGCTCCATCCATATTACGTTCTGATACTCAAGCTATGTACTCTTTGATATTTTGTTGGTACAGTGGCTGTAACTGTCAAATTTCAATTTTTTTTGTAATTAATCCCGTGAAAATACTTATATTTGTTTCTGCATAATGCATCATTTACAAAGTAATTAAACTCGAATAATTCGTTCATTTGTTTTGTCATACGCTTTTCAATTTGATAATTGCAAAATTTTCTTATTCAATTGTTGATTGAAAATCGCTTCACGAGTGGAGTATGCCCGGACTGAAATATGAATTAAATCGACCACGTTCTATGTCAAATTTCGATATCAATTCCAGTTAGCAGCTCAGTGATTGTTATATATTAAATTAATTTCAAAAATACAAAATTTTCTCAACTTCTCCATATTTTGCAGCGGTAGAACAAGATAAGATGTTTACACTAGCAAACATCCTATCTTAACAGTAAAATGTGGGTTTTAACGGGTTTTAGTATTATTGGAATTAATAAGTTTCATAATTAACGGGGATACGGGAAAGGCGGGACTTGGGAAAACAGAATGTCAAAATGACCAACAGCGCCGGAGTCACAACAGGCAACAGGAGGCATCCTAGCACAACAGTCACAACAGGCAACAGGAGGTATCCTAGCACAACATGCAGTCACAACAGGCAACAGGAGGCATCCTAGCACAACAGTCACAACAGGCAACAGGAGGTATCCTAGCACAACATGCAGTCACAACAGGCAACAGGAGGCATCCTAGCACAACAGTCACAACAGGCAACAGGAGGTATCCTAGCACAACATGCAGTCACAACAGGCAACAGGAGGCATCCTAGCACAACAGTCACAACAGGCAACAGGAGGTATCCTAGCACAACATGCAGTCACAACAGGCAACAGGAGGCATCCTAGCACAACAGTCACAACAGGCAACAGGAGGTATCCTAGCACAACATGCAGTCACAACAGGCAACAGGAGGCATCCTAGCACAACAGTCACAACAGGCAACAGGAGGTATCCTAGCACAACATGCAGTCACAACAGGCAACAGGAGGCATCCTAGCACAACAGTCACAACAGGCAACAGGAGGTATCCTAGCACAACATGCAGTCACAACAGGCAACAGGAGGCATCCTAGCACAACAGTCACAACAGGCAACAGGAGGTATCCTAGCACAACATGCAGTCACAACAGGCAACAGGAGGCATCCTAGCACAACAGTCACAACAGGCAACAGGAGGTATCCTAGCACAACATGCAGTCACAACAGGCAACAGGAGGCATCCTAGCACAACAGTCACAACAGGCAACAGGAGGTATCCTAGCACAACATGCAGTCACAACAGGCAACAGGAGGCATCCTAGCACAACAGTCACAACAGGCAACAGGAGGTATCCTAGCACAACATGCAGTCACAACAGGCAACAGGAGGCATCCTAGCACAACAGTCACAACAGGCAACAGGAGGTATCCTAGCACAACATGCAGTCACAACAGGCAACAGGAGGCATCCTAGCACAACAGTCACAACAGGCAACAGGAGGTATCCTAGCACAACATGCAGTCACAACAGGCAACAGGAGGCATCCTAGCACAACAGTCACAACAGGCAACAGGAGGTATCCTAGCACAACATGCAGTCACAACAGGCAACAGGAGGCATCCTAGCACAACAGTCACAACAGGCAACAGGAGGTATCCTAGCACAACATGCAGTCACAACAGGCAACAGGAGGCATCCTAGCACAACAGTCACAACAGGCAACAGGAGGTATCCTAGCACAACATGCAGTCACAACAGGCAACAGGAGGCATCCTAGCACAACAGTCACAACAGGCAACAGGAGGTATCCTAGCACAACATGCAGTCACAACAGGCAACAGGAGGCATCCTAGCACAACAGTCACAACAGGCAACAGGAGGTATCCTAGCACAACATGCAGTCACAACAGGCAACAGGAGGCATCCTAGCACAACAGTCACAACAGGCAACAGGAGGTATCCTAGCACAACATGCAGTCACAACAGGCAACAGGAGGCATCCTAGCACAACAGTCACAACAGGCAACAGGAGGTATCCTAGCACAACATGCAGTCACAACAGGCAACAGGAGGCATCCTAGCACAACAGTCACAACAGGCAACAGGAGGTATCCTAGCACAACATGCAGTCACAACAGGCAACAGGAGGCATCCTAGCACAACAGTCACAACAGGCAACAGGAGGTATCCTAGCACAACATGCAGTCACAACAGGCAACAGGAGGCATCCTAGCACAACAGTCACAACAGGCAACAGGAGGTATCCTAGCACAACATGCAGTCACAACAGGCAACAGGAGGCATCCTAGCACAACAGTCACAACAGGCAACAGGAGGTATCCTAGCACAACATGCAGTCACAACAGGCAACAGGAGGCATCCTAGCACAACAGTCACAACAGGCNAACAACTGCGTCAAGTAATCCAGGGTAAAGTACCAACAGCGTCAAGTAATCCAGGGTAAAGTACCAACAGCGTCAAGTAATCCAGGGTAAAGTAGCAACTGCGTCAAGTAATCCAGGGTAAAGTAGCAACTGCGTCAAGTAATCCAGGGTAAAGTACCAACAGCGTCAAGTAATCCAGGGTAAAGTACCAACAGCGTCAAGTAATCCAGGGTAAAGTACCAACAGCGTCAAGTAATCCAGAGTAGAGTAGCAACTGCGTCAAGTAATAAAGGTATTCAAGAGTCCTTTTTTATTGAATCCAGGGTAAGTACCAGACAAATCACGTGTCATGTTTTATTTCACACGAATCATACGTGTTACTGCCCATAAAAAGTACAGCAAAAAGTAGCAACAAATGCACACACATGTTACTGATAGCGATAGCACTCAATTAAATGCATGTATTTTTATGAAATATAATTCACTACAAAATAACAACCAACAAAGTCGCAACTAATTTAAAATTTGCCCGAACAAGTAATATACAAGAGATGGAGTGATGGGAACTGAGTACACGGTTGTCTATACTAACTGTATAGTGGGTATAACAACGCGAATACTTTCTATACCGTATATTGGGTAAACGGGCATGTATACTTCCTGTACACTGGGTATACCTATATACATGCATGTATAATTGTATATAGAACTGGTAAAAAATACAAAAATCCTTCGTCACGAACCAGACTCCAACAGACTACAAATAATGGAAGCAATTCTAATTCAACGGAAAAAGCCATACCTAAACAACCAAACGACTGGATCCCAACGCACTCTGAAACTTCAAAACGTGAACAAGTGTTCATAACTAGAACCATACTCCAAGCTTCGTTCACTACTTCAAATTAGTCTTCTTTCTGCGGCCAATCTGTAAGCACCTAGTCTACTCAGCTGCTCGACCTCGTTGCCTGAAGATGCTCAATGATGAGCGAAACGCGTCGCAGGATTTACCTAACCTTCCATTTGGACAAATTTTAAGACTCATTGGCCCTATTACTGTACCTCTTATCAGAAAGCTTGAGAAATTAAACTCAAAAGAAGTTCTCAATAAAATTGGCATTATTTTTAACCAAGCATGTATATAAGTACACTTCTTGTAACAGGGTACACAGGTTCGAGTCAGATAGCGTCCGCCACATACTCGACTGTACATCCAAAGTCGTAAATTTCAATATAATTTATACGCTCAGAGGTCAAGCAGCACATCTTAAATCTCGGACTATTCCCAACAATGATATACTTAATGTTCTGACTCGCAACATGGCCTCGCTTACGAGCTTCACTGCTTTAAATACGGCACTTACGACCAGGGTTCCATTTAATATCATAATTGCACTTACGATCATATAGGTTTTGTTGTGGGGGTAAATCCCCCTTCCCCAACTACTCCCCCTTGTACACGGGGGCTCTCTTCTCCTTGAAAGCGGCAAGCCCCTCGAGGCGGTCCTTGGTGCGTTACTGGCGACGCACTGCGTTACTGGCGACGCACTGCGTCACTGGCGACGCACTGCGTTACTGGCGACGCACTGCGTCACTGGTTACTGGCGACGCACTGCGTTACTGGCGTAACATCGCCTCCTGTTAATTACAACCTTCCATCATAACCAATTTTCTTTATAACCTCCCATTATCTCTCAAATTTCAATACCTTCCCCGTATCACTTTTTCTCATCAACCCAATTTGGGGTTTGAGTAAAGTAATACAGGGCGATTCACGGTTAAGTGATAATTCAAGTAATATAGAGTAAAGTAATGACTGCGTCAAACAATCCAGAGTAAAGTAATGACTGCGTCAAGTAATCCAGAGTAAAGTAATGTCTGCGTCAAGTAATCCAGAGTAAAGTAATGACTGCGTCAAGTAATCCAGAGTAAAGTAATATCTGCGTCAAGTAATCCAGAGTAAAGTAATATCTGCGTCAAGTAATCCAGAGTTAAGTAATGACTGCGTCAAGTAATTCAGAGTAAAGTAATGACTGCGTCAAGTAATCCAGAGTAAAGTAATATCTGCGTCAAGTAATCCAGAGTAAAGTAATATCTGCGTCAAGTAATCCAGAGTTAAGTAATGACTGCGTTAAGTAATCCAGAGTAAAGTAATGACTGCGTCAAGTAATCCAGAGTAAAGTAATATCTGCGTCAAGTAATCCAGAGTAAAGTAATGTCTGCGTCAAGTAATCCAGAGTAAAGTAATGAATGCGTCAAATAATTCAGAGTTAAGTACCGTCTACGTCAAGTAATCCAGAGAAAAGTACCGTCTACGTCAAGAAACCCTGAGTAAAGTACCAACTGCTTCAAGTAATCCACATCAAAGTACTGACTGCGTCAAGTAATCCAGAGTAACATGTCGACTGCTTCAAGTAATCCACATTAAAGTACTGACTGCGTCAAGTAATCCAGAGTAAAGTACCAACTGCGTCAAATAATCCAGAGTAAAGTACCGACTGCGTCAAGTTATCCAGGGTAAGTAACACACATATAACGTGTATGTTTTATTACACTCGAATCATACATGTTACTGCCCGTATACATGTTAAGTAACAGTAAATAGTAACACGGAACATGTAACGCACACATGTTAATAAGTGCGTAAAAACTAGATTAAATATCTGTATGTTTTCTACAAAAATATTCACTAAAAAATTACAACAAAAAACAGTTAAAAATTGTCCGAACAAGACCCATACAAAAGCTGAGTACCTTCGTGTACTTCCTATAAACTGGATATACATGCATGTATACTACCTGTATATTAGGTGTGCAAATATCATCGAGTCAGATAGCGCCCGTCACGTACTGTACATCCTGTGTCGTACGTCTCACCAGAATTTGTACACTAAGAAGTTTGAAAACAAATTTTAAAAATTCTTCAAATCTTCAGACAAATTTTCAAACTATCCCCACAAAAGAAGGACTTTGAGTCCTTTACACCATGGCCACACTTACGATCATCGTTGCTTTACGACACTTACGATCATGGTTTCATTTACGATCTTACGATCATTTCACTTCGCGGTAAATAAGCATCCATAGCCTTCCCCAACTACTCCCCCTTGTACACGGGGGTTCTCTTCTCCTTGAAGGCGGCCAGGCCCTCGAGGCGGTCCTTAGTGGGGATAACCTGAGCGTAGCACGACTCCTCGATGCCCAGACCGGAGGCCAGGTCCACCTGCATGCCCCTCGTGATGGCGGTCTTGGCCATCCTCACCCCCACGGGACCGTTAGGCACGATCCTGCCGGCGATCTCCAACGCCTTTAGGAAGGCAGCGTCCCCGGCGGGGTTCTGGGGAACGCTGTGGTTCACGAGGCTGATTTCTGCCGCTTCCTGGCCTGTGAGAACCGCAGCTGTGAAAATAAGTTCCTTGGCCTTAGCGGTCCCCACGACGCGGGGTAATCTTTGGGTGCCCCCCGCCCCGGGGATGATGGCGAGCCTCGTCTCGACAAGCCCCACCTTGGCGGTGTCCGCAGCCACGCGCATGTCGGCAGCGAGGGCCAATTCCAAACCCCCACCAAGGGCGGCACCGTCGATGGCAGCAATCACGGGCACGGGCAACGTCTCCAGACCCGTGATGGCCGCACGGGTCTTATTGACGAAGGTGGTGACCTGCTCGTTAGTCATGGTGGCCCGAGCCTTGAGGTCCGCCCCAGCGCAGAATATGCCGGGGATCAGGGACCGGAGTATTATGACCCGGGCCTTCCGGTCCACCCTGAGCGCCTCCAACGCCTCGTGGAACTGCTCCAACATCGCGGCATTGATGGCGTTTTTGGCTTCAGGACGGTTGAACCCAAAGACAACAACCCCTTCGTGTTCTCCTGTTAACCTCTCAACCACCAGTTCCTTCAGGTTAGCGGAACTGGACGTGATCTGACGTATCTGGTTCACAGAACACACCGATCTCAGAAGACCTATGTGGTTCACAACGCTTGATAATGGCATCTTGCTCATGTGGTTCACAATGCCCCTTGATGGCATCCCTTTTATGTGGTTCACAATGCTTATCCTATTAATTTGGTTAATAATGCACATTGATCTCATTTTGGTAGTAGAGAACATGTCTGTCGTATTTCTGTTGATAACGGAAAAATAATTAGTACCTACAAATTTTGGTTACAGTGCAACCTCAACTTATTTACAATACAGAAATACTGGTAAAAATAGAGCAGCGTTGAAACAAGGGCGTGTCAGCAGCAAGTGGCACAGTCTGCAGCAGCAGCGACAGCAAGTGGCACAGTCTGCAGCAGCAGTAACAACAAGTGGCACAGTCTGCAGCAGCAGCAAATTTTTTGGCTTGGAAGGTACATATATGCCTCTCACATCTGGTCTGAACTACTAAATTACAATTACAGGTTTCCAGCCTTGTAAGTCAAAAGATGGACAATAATTTCTTTTAAAGAAATGAAAGGAATTTTAATACAAGTGTGATAGGATGATAATAATTGAACTAATCATTAGGTAATTTGAGTAATCACTCAGGTTGCAATGCTTTGGCTTGAATTACTTAAAACTAAATGTGAATTAATAGTTATATAGGTACCTATAGTTCCTATACTGTATGCCTCTGATGCTGTGAAAAATTTAAAAATAGAACCAAATGAACCAACAAACATTGCTTCATGCTGTTATATCCAAGATTTTATTACTTTAATTCAACTATGATTAATTTTTTATACAAACATAGGAATTGGGTAAAAAATATTGATTAATATTGAGATTAATCAAGCTACACTGGACTTTGGAAAGTTGAGTTAGACAGCATCGAAGCATAGCAAGAAATATAATCATTCAAAATTTTTAAAATACTGATCACATGATTCTACTTCAGAGTACCAGTAGCTAGTGTTCAAGAATTAGTTGAGCATATGTATGAAGTTAAGAGCATTACATTTGAAAAATGATAGTCCAGTGATCATGACTCATGAGAAGAATATGGTTGAGAATAGCAAGATTAGCAGTGGGAAAAATTTAGCTATAGGTTTGAAATCCCAGCAAGCAGTAGGAATTCTGCAATGTCTTGAATAGCTAAATAGACAATAGAATAGGCCAGATCCTAGAGTTGCTGGCACTACAATTACTATTATCATTAATATGGGAAATTATTGTTAACAGTGAACCAGTAAATCCATGATCTGCACTGTTAATACTACCCAATACCCATTTTATAAATTTAATTACCTACTGTAGAATAATAGATTTAAACAAAATTATCTTAAGTAGATAGGTAAAAAGCATGCATAAGTCAATCTCAATCAGCTTCTATAGTGTGTCAGTGTCGACAGTGTGCGTCTTTCAATTGTCAAAAAAGAAAAAAAAGGTTACAGACCCTTAAAATTCAGCACAAACTACAGAGTGGATATTTCATTATATTTGGCATGAATTTGGCATAAATTTAGGTTAGAAAAGGGAAATTGGGAATATAGTTGTAAATGATGGCTTGTATCAGTACTATATCTACCTTGTCATGTGAATGCTCAGTTCCAAAAAACCATATTGATTTGGTTATAGAATGAAAGAATGATTTTATTTTTTCACCTAGAACTTGGAAGGATAGGTAAGCGTAGGTACTTGTTCCAAAATTATATGCAAAATAACAATTACCTAATTATTTTCAGCAATTGGAAATTTTTTCTTTCATTTTAAAGAGGAGCAAAGCAAAATTTAGCAAATAGTAAGTAGGCAGTAGGCTAGCAGCAGTCAGCACTCAGCACCTGAGCACTCAGCAGTCTGGCCTGAGCCTCTAGGTAGCACTGTTATGATGAGTGAAAAAATATCTGCTCAAATTTTATTATACTAAATAGACCAATAATACAAGCAATCTTATCTTAAATAGATTCATCATTGCCAAAGCTATTAATTGTAGACAAATAAATTTATGAAGAATGGTCAAAACAACATAAGACATTTTGTCCGGTTTTAAATAAACCTTAGCTCTAACTGGAGTAGGAGGTAGACTTTAATTCTGGACAAAGATTTGACAGAAGCTTATAATAAAACAGAATATTTAAAATAACAATAGAGTAACTATTATTAAAGAATCCCTACAAAGAGAGCAACATGCCTCTAAAAATCATAGTTTTATCGTGTTTCATTATTGTCTATCTATCTAACATATGATAAATAACGACGCACGGACAAACGCACACTCAGTAAATCGCGAAATTGCAGTAGCTACAACAAGTTTTAATCATGTCACTTGCCTTCATTTAGTGCAGCTTGAACAGCACACTGCCCGGTCATCCCAGTTCCTCCAAAAATAACTAATTTTCTTATGGACTCCATTGCAATTACAAATCCTTGTGAAGTTTTTGCGTGGGTGTGGTTTAAGGACTTGTTCGACCGAAACTGGCGCAAGCGAACTCACAACCACTCAGACGAGACCATGATCAGTCACTCGCCCTTGTGTTAGTGTATGCAGGACATGCAGTGTTGACAGATGACAGTGATTTTGCGCCAGCTGATCAGATTAAAAATATGTGTTGAATGCTTCTATAAAGTGATTAGGAATTAGTGTAGTTAGTAAAATTAGTATTTAATGTAGTGTAATGGCGGGAGGATCAGTTACTCCAATATTATCTGCTGATATTAGCAGAAGAAATCCACAAGATGAATACGAATTGATTCAAAGAATAGGAAGTGGAACATATGGCGATGTTTATAAAGTAAGTGTCAGAATTTTTTTTAACGCAGTAAATTTATTTCCATAATCTTTATATAGACATGCAGAGTTTTTCAGAAGAATTTTTCATAAATGAACATTCATATTTTGCAGTTTGCAGCTCCATTTATCAGGCTTCAGGCCTGGCAAGAATGGCTAAATGAAACTACCTAAATGACATATTCATGCTCATTAGTCATTAGTCTTTGACTGTCTTTGTGTTTTGCCATTTAGAATTAATTAAATTTCCTGGATTGATTTTGAATGTATAAAACACCCATCTTTTAATTCCCTCTTGCTTTTGGCTCAATTGTGCTGGTTTATTAACTATCAAATTAGACTAGAAATTCCTAGAAGTAAAATTGAGTAGCTCCAAATATTGAAGAAAATCTTATTTTATGGACCAAAAAGTAGATTTATCTATAATTTGTTAAAATACACCCTGGATAATTAGTATTGTTAGTATAGGACTATAGGTATATTTTATTTGCTAATACCTATTTCTGTAAGTTCTGTTTTCTGTAGGCTATGTATAATTTTGATATTCTAGCAGACTATTGGAGCTGGTGCAGAATATACCTCCCATTTGAGCCATGACCAGAGCTTTTCTGTCATTTTTAAAGCCAGGAGTTTACTGCTAGGCATAGTGGCAAAGTAAGTCAGTAAAGTCACGAGTCATCAAGTCAAGAAAAGCAAAAGAATCAGCAACCTGCCTATTTCTTCAGTGCTGACACTTCTATCCTATTCTAAAGCAGAGAAATTTTTAGACTTCCTTAAGTTAAATTTTGAGTCCTACTGTCCTATAAGTAGACCAGTAAAGTATGATGGATACCAGCATTATCATACATAAGAATGATAAGATATTGGTTTAAATCTTAAGTAAATGAGGGAATTAAAAATAAACAGATTCTAAAAAATATCTGGTTTGTCACTATGCTGCTAGGTGAATTATCTATCATCTAATTGTTAATAAAACTGCATGATTGGTCTGCAAGATTCCATATGTATAAAAAAATTGGTCATTTGGAGCCATGAGATTTTATTCATCAGTAGGAAAATTCCATGATAGTAATCAAGAGCAATTACTAATGGTAAATATTGAATTGTTTTGCAACATGTTATAAGTACTCTTCTGCTTGATCTCAATATAATAAGTACCTAGTCAGTCATCAAGGATACAAAACTGATTTACACTAATTATTTCCTTTATTTCACTCAAATCTTCAAGCTCACTAAAAGTTGGCTATTGAATTAATTATTGTTGCTTTCAATGTTAAATTTTACTATTGCAAAAATTGATTTTGAATTGAAAGAAGAGCTATCAGTGGTAAACTGGTTACAAAAATGCCTTACATTAAAAATTTTAGAGCTCACAAATATTGACTAACCAAAGCATCTAACACAAATTGGACTCTACAAACTTCAAAATTAGAACTAAATGAAATCTCACAATTACCATCCCTTGCCTTTCAAATGTATTTATACTTGTTAGGTACCTATTAAATTTATCTAGTTGCAAAGATAGCCTCAAAAATTACTCCTTGATTTAGCCAAGTGTCTGAACAATAGATGATGAGGTATATGTATTGAGGGTGATATATATAAAAATCTACTTTTCAAGCTGCAACTAGAGCTTGACTGCAAGCCACAAGATTTGTGCTAGATGAATTACCTCCTATCTGCTATCAAAAGTGCACAGAAGTGCTGATTCCATATGTATTCAAAACTTGAGTCTCAGCTGCTCAAGAGCCACGAGATTTTATGAGTCCAATCCTGTTGAGCTCTTAATACTTTCCATAGCCAGCAGTGACATTAAGTGTTCAAGTAATATGAATGAGGGATTTAAAGTTCTAATTGAATCAGATTACATTTTAATTTTCCTTGGCTGCCATGTTCTTCCTAAATCATGGTAGCTAAATGTTTTAATCACAAGTTTATCTCCGGCAGGCAAAGCGTCTCATCACCAATGAATTTGCTGCTATCAAAGTCATCAAGCTGGAGCCTGGTGAGTTACTTGGCAGTTTTTCATATGATTTGGGCTGAGCTCATCTCTGTCACGTATCTCTGTACCTTATGATCACAATGGACTAGTTCATCTCTGAGATATCTCCACACCCAATCATCACAGAGACATCAGTGATGTCTCTGTTTATGATCATTACAGGGGATAATCTTATCCATGTGACATCTCCATACCTGACACAAGGGTTCATGTCATCTCTGTGATGTCTCTGTATCTGATTATCCCAAGAGACAAGTTCATCTCTGTGACATCTCTGTACAATTCCACAAACTCTTGCTATCTTTAATAATTAACTTATTCTACATGGCCTTGAGAATTCTTATTGGTATTTATTCTCATTAGGTTTTACTTTAGGTACTTAAAGTTTTATTAAACTCATGGTTTATTAGTATTTATTAATATTAATTTAAATAATGAATATTCTTAATATTTAATAACATGCATTAAAAATTTCCTAGACATTGCTAAAGAAATTATTCTAGAAACTTTCTTTCATGTTTGTGATGAGCATTGATGTGTGCAGGTGACGACTTCAGCATCATTCAGCAGGAGATCCTGATGATGAAGGACTGCCGGCACCACAATTTATTTAATTGGGCTGAAGTTGTTCATTAATGCAAATTGCACTGAAAACTAGAGAGTATTTTTTACTAACTATTTTCCTATTGATTCTCTCAATGCGGCAAATTAGGCTTATATAGGTACTTAAAAATGTTTGTAGAGATATCACTGTGTAAATATATATGTCATGTGTTATAGATTAAGATATCAGACAATGTTTTGTAAGATTTTAATTTGTCACAAATTTGACTTTTTTAAGGGCTTTTCCTAAATTTACTTATGCTAGATTGCTTTCATTATGAACTGAGCTCATAATTCGAATTAAGATTGGGTTTAGATTGAATCTATTCATACGCTGCTGTGGTTCTGTTGTAGTACATTAAAATTATTCAAACATTAAAAGTACATCAAAAAGGTTTTGATTAAATAATACCAGTCTCAAAAAAACTATTTGTCCATGATGGTGACATCTATATTAATAATAAGTTATTATTATATATATTATATGTTATTAATAATATGTGTTATTATTAATAACTTATATGATATTTGCAGTAACGGGCCCGCTGTCAGAGCGCCAGATCGCCTACATGTGCCGGGAGACGCTCAAGGGCCTCGAGTACCTGCACCGCGTCAGCAAGATGCACAGGGACGTCAAGGTAACGGGCTCCTACAGGAGGGGTGGGCATCCTGTAGGAGGTGTGGGCATCCTGCAGGAGGTGTGGGTATCCTGCAGGAGGCGTAGGCATCCTGCAGGAGGTGTAGGCATCCTGTAGGAGGTGTAGGCATCCTGCAGGAGGTGTGTGTATCCTACAGGAGGTGTAGGCATCCTATAGGAGGTGTAGGCATCCTACAGGAGGTGTAGGCATCCTACAGGAGGTGTAGGCATCCTGCAGGAGGTGTAGGCATCCTGCAGGAGGTGTAGGCATCCTGCAGGAGGTGTGGGCATCCTGCAGGAGGTGTAGGCATCCTGCAGGAGGTGTAGGCATCTTCCCTAGTCCCTTAATGGTCCCTCGTCCCTTCATGGTCCCTCGTCCCTTCATGGTCCCTCGTCCCTTCATAGTCCCTCGTCCCTTCATGGTCCCTCGTCCCCTCCTGGTCCCTCGTCCCTTCATGGTCCCTTGTCTTTTCACGGTCCCATGGTCCCCTCGTTCCCTCACCGTCCCCTCGTCGGCTCACCGTCCCCTCGTCCCCCAGGGCGCCAACATCCTGCTCACGGACGCGGGTGACGTGAAGCTCGCAGACTTCGGCGTGTCTGCGCAGATCACCGCCACCCTCAGCAAGAGGAAGAGCTTCATTGGCACCCCCTACTGGATGGCACCTGAGGTGGGTGATGGCACTGGATGGCACCTGAGGTGGGTGATGGCACTGGTTGGCACCTGAGGTGGGTGGTGGCACTGGATGGCACCTGAGGAGTGTGGTTGTGTTGTTGTAATTGCCCATCCTGGTAGTTGCGACTAGGTAAGGGAGGGGGTGATAGGTCAGTTTTTCCGGGCACTCGGTTCCACTGCAAGTTCTACGACCATCACTGGCTTGCTGACCCGCCAGAACCATTGAGGTGTGTGGTGGCACTGGATGGCACGTGAGGTGGGTGGTGGCACTGTATGGCACCTAGGAAGGTGGTGGCACTAGATATACTTCATTCCTCTAACTTCATGTAACATTGCAGGTGGCTGCGGTGGAGCGCAAAGGTGGCTACAATCACCTGTGCGACATCTGGGCAGTTGGTATCACGGCCATCGAGCTGGCGGAGATGCAGCCACCCATGTTCGACCTGCATCCCATGCGGGCCTTGTTCCTCATGTCCAAGAGCGGCTTCAAGCCGCCTACTCTCAAGGACAAGAACAAATGGACACCAACCTTCCATAACTTCCTTAAGGTGATTCCTGGCCTTTACTTCCTTAAGGAGATTGCAGGCTTTTATTTCCCTTAGTTGGTAATTTCCACTAGGTCCCCAAGTTCTTGATGTCTCCTAGTTCTTATTGTCTCTTATCTCTCCTAGTTTTTAATGTCCCCTAGGTCCTTTACTTGGTAATATCCCCTGGGTCCCCTATTTCTTAATGTCCACTAGGTCTCCTAGTTCTTAATGTCCCCTAGGCCTCCTATTAACTAGGTAATGTATCCTAGGTCTTCTAGTTGGTATTGTCCCCTAGTTGGCAATGTCTCCTAGGTTCCCTGATTGCTAACGTCATGTCCTGCTGCAGGTGGCGCTGACGAAGAACCCGAAGAAGCGTCCTCCCGCTGACAAGTTGCTGCTGCATGTCTTCGTCTCGTGCGACCTGCCGCGATCTCTTGTCACGGACCTCCTGCATGCGGCACACAGCCCCCACACGTCCTACCCCACTGAAGTGGAGGTGGGTGGGCCCTGGTCTTGGTGTGGTTGTAGTCCCCCACCGACGTGGTGGTGGGTGGGCCTTAGTCCCCCACCGACGTGGAGGTGGGTGGGGCCTGGTCTTGAGTGTGGTTGTAGTCCCCCACCGACGTGGAGGAGGGTGGGGACTGGTCTTTGGTGTGGTTATAGTCCCCCACCGACGTGGAGGAGGGTGGGGACTGGTCTTTGGTATGGTTGTAGTCCCCCACCGACGTGGAGGTGGGTGGGGCCTGGTCTTGAGTGTGGTTGTAGTCCCCCACCGACGTGGAGGTGGGTGGGGACTGATCTTTGGTGTGGTTATAGTCCCCCACCGACGTGGAGGTGGGTGGGGCCTGGTCTTGAGTGTGGTTGTAGTCCCCCACCGACGTGGAGGTGGGTGGGGACTGGTCTTTGGTGTGGTTATAGTCCCCCACCGACGTGGAGGTGGGTGGGGCCTGGTCTTGAGTGTGGTTGTAGTCCCCCACCGACGTGGAGGAGGGTGGGGCCTGGTCTTGGGTGTGGTTGTAGTATCCTTAGTATTTTTTTGGGACATAGTCCCAGGCCACGATGGATCGCCGCCTCCGATTATCGTTCATCCGCCCTCATTTGGGCCACCTGATGCACGATGCTGTTTGCTTGCTTCTCGCCACTGGTAGTGTTGCAGGGGAGGTCGATCTGGGATTGTGCCCAGGAAAACGTCCAGTTGTCTCTTGAAGGGCTCCAGGGTGAACTCCCCCTCTCTTAGATCCTTTGGTAGGACGTTAAACAGCCTCGACTCTGCCATGGAAAGTGATCCTTCCTGCAGGGGTTGAAATCTGACCGCAGATCTGTTACAAAGTGGGGGGACTGACGTGGAGGTAGGCCCGGCTGAGATTAATCGAACTCGAATAGTATTTTATAAATTGAGATTATTGTCTAAATTCAATAGTAATTGGTTAGTTGCGATCAATTGATCACCTGGACGCTCATGCTAATAACAATTATTACTTGGACGCTCATCGTGACGTGCACTAACTCCTCTCTCGTCCCCAGATGGACGACGAAGGCGCCGTCAGCAACGTCCCCCAGCGCATCACGTCTCGCACGCCTACACGTCGCAAGCACCGCACCAAGTCTGAGCTGCACAGTGAGTGACTGCAGTGAAATGCAGTGAGTTGCGTGCAGTGCAGTGCAGGGAGTTGCGTGCTGTACCGTGCTGTGCTGTGAGTGACTGCAGTGCAATGCAGTGAGTCCCGTGCTGTATAGTGCAGTGCTGTGATGTGAGTGCAGTGCTATGCAAGGATTACCGTGCTGTGCTGAGAGTGCCGTGCTATGCAATAAGTGCCGTGCAGTGCAGTGAGTGCCGTGCTGTGCAGGGAGTGCAAGTGTAGTATGCAGATGCGGTGGTGTGGACGATGGAAGCAAGTGGAGGAGAAATAAATAAGCAAGAGAATGAGTAATAAATAAATTATCCCCCGCCCCCCCAGTGGAGTCCGTGAACTTCGAGGCGCCGCTGGTGACGGAGCTGCGGGCAGAGAGCGACGCCCCCCACACGCCCCCCCGACACTGGCAGGTGGGGCGCCAACCCTGGGGTAGGAGGGGAGGGCTATAGAGGGCAGAAGGGGGGAAGAGGAGGGCTTTAGTGACCCCCGGTGACTTTACCTCCCCGGTGACCTGACCTCCCCAGTGACCTGACCTCCCCAGTGACCTGACCTCCCCAGTGACCTGACCTCCCCAGTGACCTTACCTCCCCAGTGACCTGACCTCCCCAGTGACCTTACCTCCCCAGTGACCTGACCTCCCCAGTGACCTGACCTCCCCAGTGACCTCTGACCTCCAGTTATTTGACCCCACACACAGAAATACAAGTGTGTCATTGTCCAAATAAGGACACAATCAAATCCAGCAAACTGACCTATGCTCTTTGCCTAGCCAAACTAAGCCAGGATGATCCGGACGACGAGAGTGCATCGCCACATGAACAAAATCTCACTTATTTCTCTGAGTGTAGTGACG